CCGGAGCCCCTCCGCGGCTTTGAACGCGGAGCCCCCCCCTCCAGTGTTCACTATTAAATCTCAGTCTGTTACTATCCGTTACAGATGACACAATCTGTGATTTCAGTTGTTTTCCTATTCTAAATACAAGTAACTGTCAGTATAATTGCTTTTTAATGGCTACTTGTGCAACCAGTGAAATTACTTAGTGGGTAGAAGGCTCTAGATACAAGTACACATGGAGTAAAGTCCCACTGGATGCCAGTGTTCACTATTAAATCTCAGTCTGTTACTATCCGTTACAGATGACACAATCTGTGATTTCAGTTGTTTTCCTATTCTAAATACAAGTAACTGTCAGTATAATTGCTTTTTAATGGCTACTTGTGCAACCAGTGAAATTACTTAGTGGGTAGAAGGCTCTAGATACAAGTACACATGGAGTAAAGTCCCACTGGATGCAGTATTTGTGAAATGACTTTATCAAACCTAGGTGGGGCCAGAATTCCTTGTCAAATTTGGCCCAGACCCAGGCACTGTTTTGGAATTTCTGAGTCTGCTGCTTATACTCTTTGATGGGCTGGGACAGGCAGCCTGAGGCTGGCGACAACCAAACGGGGAACGTTGGACTTTCATATATGTGTGCTGTCCCCCTGCACCCTTTGTAAAGGTGAAGTTTAGTCTGTGACAGGTGGCATGTTTAAGCATGTGCACACTAAGAAGAAACTCAGTCAAGTGACACCATTATCTCATAAGAACATAAGAACGGCCATACTGGGTCAGACCAAAGGTCCATCCAGCCCAGTACCCTGTCTGCCGACTGTGGCCAATGCCAGGTGCCCCAGAGGGAGTGAATCAAACAGGTACTGATCAAGCGATCTCTCTCTGCCATCCATCTCCACCCTCTGACAAACAGAGGCTGGGGACACCATTCCTTACCCATACTGGATAATAGCCATTTATGGACTTAACCTCCATGAATGTATCTAGTTCTCTTTTAAACTCTGTTATAGTCCTAGCCTTCTCAGCCTCCTCAGGCAAGGAGTTCTACAGATTGACTATGCACTATATGAAGAAGAACTTCCTTTTATTTGTTTTAAACCTGCTGCCCATTAATTTCATTTGGTGGCCCCTAGTTCTTATATTATGGGAACAAGTAAATAACTTTTCCTTATTCACTTTCTCCACACCACTCATGATTTTATAGACCTCTATGATATCCCCCCTTAGTCTCCTCTTTTCCAAGCTGAAAAGTCCCAGTCTCTAATCTATCCTCATATAGGACCCATTCCAAACCCCTAATCATTTTAGTTGCCCTTCTCTGAACCTTTTCCAATGCCAATATATCTTTTTTGAGATGAGGAGACCACTTCTGTACACAGTATTCCAGATGTGGGCATACCATGGATTATATAACAGTAATAAGATATTCATCTTATTTTCTATCCCTTTTTCTTTTCCATCCCTGCTTTCCTAGATCATGCATCACCCAAGTCTATCCAACTGGATGTAAACAGAAACCTTATTAAGCCAAAAAAAAAAATTTAAAAAATAAAACAGCATTAAAATAGCATGTCCCCTTTAAGTGCAGGGCTAGGAACAGGGGAGTGGTTGAGCACTCAGACCCAGGGAAAGCATTGCTTCCCCTAGGTATTTTGGCCGGCAGTCATTTTGTGCCGGCAGCCTTGCAAACCTGGTAAGCATGGGGGCTGGAGGTGTTGGGGGCTAGAGAGAGGCTGGGAGACCGGGCGCTGAGTGTTTGTAGGGTTGCCAGGTGCCTGGCATTTTCGCCTCCTGGCTGGGGAAAAATTCAGAAAATACCAGACATTTTAGGTGTCCAGTATTCTCTGAATTTTTTTACTGTACAGGAGCCAAAAATACCGGACTGTCCGGGTGAATACCGGACACCTGGCAACCCTACATCCCGTCCTGCAAGGTTCTTCAGCCATTTGTACTACTGCTCAGGGGCAGATGACAGTTTTGCGGGGCCCCCCATTTGCCACGGCACATGCGCCGTGACGCCATGCACATGTGCGGTGGTGCCACGGCGCATGTGCGGGGCTTTTTTAAGCGCGGGGCCCGGGGCGGCCGCCCCGTTCGCCATGCCCTATATCCGCCTCTGCTACTGCTCCATGTTCACGGGCTACCAAAGGCAGCTTGCTCCTCTGGGAGAGCTGAGAATGGGAGATCTGTCCCCTCCTGGGGCTAGGAATTTCTGAGCGGGTTTACTCCCTTTGAGGTGTGCTTCACAGGTGTGATGATGGGCCCGCCTGAGCCCGTAGCTGCTCATGAATAAAGCAGAGATTGTATATTCCGTCTCCAGGTGTGTCTACACTAGCACTGGAGACATAAGCTCAGGTAGACATACTCTTGCTGACTCTGACTCTGCTAGCATTCTAAAAAGAGAAGAGAGAAGCAGTGGCAACACAAGCCATGTGTCATGCAAACTGCCAGGGATGCAATACACACACTGCTAGCCCAGCTGGAGACTCACACTGCTTGAGCTATACTTCTACTGTTAGCATGCAGTCACAATCTGAGTGAGAGCTGGAATGTCTGCTGGAGCTGGCAGCAAATTGTAGACATACCCATAGACCCCTAAGTGGCCATTTCACATTGCAAGGATACAGCAACATTTCAGACCATCAGTAGCCCCCAGTCTTGTTGCAGACACACCTTTAACATAAGGCCATCTGTGCTAGTTCCACGCTATTGTGGGATTCCTTTAAATGGAGAATTGATAATTTCACCCTTCCAAGAGGATGGGAATAGGAAATCTGGCCCACAGTGCCCCTTATGTATAATATCTATAGGCTATAAAATGTTTAATATTGTCAGTGCATCTGAGTATAATTTAAGATTCCCCCTAAAAAAATTAAGCCTAGATTGCAGAAGTATGTAAACAAATGAACAATTCTAGTCTCTCTTTATCTGTCAATATTTCCACTCAAGCCCTGATAGTATACACATTAAATTATTGTAGCTCTTAATTTGACATTTCCTGGTGTTTATCCAAATCTTTATTTTTGTGTGTGTGTACTCTGTGTGTATGTGTGTGTGTGTGTATATATAAACTTATTGTATTTAAGTGGTCTGAGTTAAGTAAAAGAATAATGAAAATGTAAACAGCAAAACATACATTGTAGAAGCTGCAGTTTACAATATTGCAAAGTATGACCTGGAATATTTTACTTTAACAGCATGTTAATTTTGAGATTTTTATTTTTATTACAAATAAAACATTCTGGTTTGTGAAAATTTGGTTTTGTTTCATCCACAGAATGTGTACAATCTGGTAACAGCTATGAATTCCTTAAATCCCTCATTAACAAAGGTAAGCGAGCTTTCCTACTTTAGGGGTTGACTACACAAACTAATGTTTACAACTAGCAGTAATTACAAGGACTGAAATTTCTTATACATTTGCAGAACAATCATAGTAGGTACAAATGTGCATGATCAAATTGTCGTATTTTGATCTGAAGACAGTTGTTGTCCATGAATGTAATACCTTAATAATAATAAACAAATCTATTTAAAAATTCTGCTGATTTGTTGTACAAATTGATGCCTGTTGAATCTACAGAAATCTAGCATCCTGGAGACTATTACAGAAGGATTCTCCAAGTTGCCATGGTCAGGTGATAACTAGGTTTTTCAAATATTTCACACTCAAATGAGCATGTGTGACCTAAGGAGTAAGATAATATGAGTGGCAGAACAGGTTACACATTCTTCGATATTATGGGTGACTTTCGTAATGGGCTGTTTCAAAGAGGACTGCCCACCCCTTATCATGAACACATACATTTTCTATTCTCTTCTATTCCTGAGACCTGTGCTGCTTGGGAGACATTGTTGTCCATTATTTGAGCAGTAATATCTCCTTGGCTCAAAGGAGGAATTGTGTCTGGAACCTTTTCCACTTGACATGGCCACTTCCCCATGCTCCACCTTCACTTGTATTAGCAATGTCTTGTGCTTGCTGCTATCCTATTTTTGAATTGTTCATAGACAGAGTGTTAACTATATACACTTGCTGGATAAAATTTCCTTTTAATAAAGTTCCTTTCTTTCTCTAATTTCATTTAAGCCAGATATGTCATGGTCTCGTAGCTTCTCACTTATTGTTTTATACTCTGTTTTGTGCCATTCACACTGGGAAGCTAACAAGCAGCCATAAGGCAAACTTTGTGGGTTTTCAATTTCTCTTTTTCCAGTGGCTGGTTCTTGCTATTCCAGCAAAAGCCGAACTAGAGACTGACCCTGTCAATCAGCATAACACCACTTATGCATAAGAAAATTGTCTGCTCAGGGTGTCATGTTTCACAAATTCTTGTCAGACATATTTTCATCATTAGGCGTACAGACTTATCTGCAGACTAATGGGGACTGATAGACGGTATGAGTATACACCCTTCTTTAAAAAGTCATGTTATTCTGAATATTCATAATATAGTATGAAGAAGAGATTTGCTCACAGATATTCATAGAATATATTTTTTAAAATGCCACAAAAGTGCTAACTTTTAATTTTGTCTTCAAGACAGGACACTGTGGAAGCTTTCTGATAGGTAGTCAGTGATATCAACCTGTGTCAGTTATGTCCTACTAAAGGCGTATCTACTGTTTCCTGCTTTTTTTATATATATTTGTATGTAAAGTGACAGTCCATTTTCTTACTATAAAAAAGCAAATAGAAAATCTAATGATGATGGGAGAAGCTTTCTGCAGTTGGCAGTATTAAGTTGTCCACTTCAGTTTTCAACAGAACCAGAAAAGAATTAATTATGAATTTAAAACACCCTTTATCCTTCTAACATCAAAAACAGTTTACCTTAATGTAAGAGAAACACAGAATTATTCATTTTCAGTTGTATGGCCATGTGGTTTTCCATAGTGAAGTTAGGGTTAGAAAGATATGTTATTGTGAACAGAGTATGCATATAATAATGTTGTCTAATTATGTCTTATTTCAGTCATTCTTTTTAACCCACAGGCATTGTGTGAAAAATGCATTCCATATCAACACAAAGTTCTACATCTGCTTTATTGTACTTAAAAGGAGAGAAGAAATGCCTGTAAATCTATCTCCCCAGCAAATACCAATTAAGGACTGCTCATTGCACTAGGCAGGTGCACATAAAGATAAAATTTCTGGTATCTAATTTAAACTTTACAATGTGCCCAACCAGATAATCTCCATGTAAATAATTCATTTATTCATGGCTCTTTTATGCATGTTTATGTCTACAAGCTGATCAAGATTTACTGTTGTATAGAATATAAACTCTTTTTGCTATGTGCCATTACTACAAACAGTAATCGTGCTGTCTTGCTATAAAAACATTGAGCAGGAAGAATCTGTATGTTGAGGCATGAATATTCATTCCTAGGCCTTCAGAGAAACTGAAATTTTGCATTAATGATCTGCTCCAGCTTTAGGACTGGGTGCCAGTTTCACCAAGAGCATCAGTACCAGTTGGTAGGGCTATGCTGATGCAATTCATCAGCCCACCCAAAAGTTAGTGAGATGCTAGTCAAAACAAATTGTAGCAGTTCCATGATATTTTCAGCAAATGCTCACATACTCCAAAGTTTGTTGGTTGATTGCGATCAAATAACCTGGGAAATTGTGTTGAAGAAGTTAATTCTGAATTCTCTACAAAGCCAATTTGTTTTCCAATAGGTAGCAGTGCTCCCTCACCCAGGTCCAGATTTATACTGCACAAGTGGATCCTATTGACTTCAATGAGAATGTTTGTAGAGTAAGGCATTACTGAACTTTTGTAAAGGTATCCGAGGCAGGCCTTACTGTTTTCATGCGTGTACTCATCTAAAGAAGTTGGTTGTGCCCATGAAAACTCATACCACCATCTATATGTTTTATTAGTCTTTAAGGTGCTACTAGACTATTTGTTTAAGTTTTTCCTGTTACAGACTATTTCGGCTACCTCTCTAAAGCTTAAAGAATGATTGTTTACTTTAGTATAATGTAGATACTTAGTAATATAAGGGATCAGTTGGTGTAAAAATGGATCTGTTTCTGTGACACTTTGAATATTTCTGATTGCCTAAAGGTGGAGAGTTTTCAGGGTAGAGTTGCCAAATTTGTAAAGTCAGCTATGACCTCTCTTGTATGTGCACAAGAACACTTCTCAAGTTAGATAAGGGACAAGTTGACTGCTAATGTTAAGTTAGTGAATGATCTTTACTTGGACCCTATAATGTCAGAATAATCAAGATTAGAACATTTAATTAAAAACAGAAAATGCAAGGTAATATATTTTAAGGTTTTGCTCTAGATCGGGGTGGGCAAATTCCAGCCCACAGGCCAGATCCAGTCAGCAGTGTTAGATCCTGGCAGGCTCCCACTTCCATGTTTACCTGCACCTCTGGTTGGCAGTGAATCACTGTTTGTGACCAATGCGAGCAACAGGAAGGGGTGTCCCACTCTGATACTTCCTGTCACTCGCATTGGCCACAAACAGTCATTCACATCCAACCAGAGCTGTGATCTTCCGATAGCTGTGGAGGAGCAGGTAAACATGGCAGGCCACTGCTGCCAGGGACTAACCTTGTGGGTTGCTTTTTTTTTTTTATTGCCTACACCTGCTCCAGGTATTACTCTTAACTGTGTATACCTTAATGCTGTTAAAGCAATTACTGTTGCTTTGACCCCTTGTTATAATAAGCTTTTGCCTTTCAGAAACAGCTGGGTCTGCTAAGAGCCATTTCCCAATTCTACACAAGGTAGATCAGATGACTCTCGCTTTATCACCCTTGGAGGCCATCTGAAGGACAAAGAAAAGAGATACATACAAAACTAATGTTTTCATATGGTGGGAAACACTTGGCCCTAATCTTGTGATGAATATGACACAAGAGACTGACTGAAATGTGAAACCATTCTACTTTCTTCCATCTTAGGTGGCTGTTTTACACATTTTTTTTTAAATTGAAAATAGAGGTTCTCCACACTGTTTTAACTTCTGGCAGTGCTAAGTTTATTTGTGCAGAATTCTGTAGGTGTTATTTGACCAAGTCACTGTGGACAATGATTCCTCTTTCTGTGGTTTGACACAACTACCCACTCCTTTTTAAAAGAAAGAAAAGACTTTGTGTATGGAAATTTTGCATACTTTGCACATGGATAATTATCATGGTAACACCCTCTCAGAAGAATGTTAAATGCTTATGGAAAGATTACAGTTACCCAGCTAGGAATCAACTGTCATACACTCAGTCTGTTTACATACATAATTGAAGGTCAGTAATGCCTTATTTGTTCAATGGAATTTTTTACTTTGTACAATATAAAACTGCCTTCTAGAAGTCTTGGTAATTGTTAAAAAGATTAAGACATTGTTTCACCCACAAGTAAATGTTCTTTTTTTAATTGACATGTAAACTCATTGGGTAGATGCTTTTAATTCATACATGTGGAAGTAAGTTCATAGAACAACATACTTAAATTCATGCCTTATGCTACACACCAGAGACGGCTCTAGAATATTTTAATATCAATGGCAGATGGTATATTTTGCTCAGAGGGCTTATTCTTTCAAATATGTCCAATCCAATTTCAGCTTTTAGGCTGTATCGATCTCTGATACCAGCTCCAGCGCTCCTTTTCCCCATTCAGCCCTCCTATTTTGGTTCTCTGCTTTTGTACTAATTAATTAGTTTGCATACTCCGAGCTGCTTCTGTACTATGCAGCATGCCATTCAGAAAAAAAAGTTAAGCAAGTAGCTCAGGCTGGAAGTTATTCCACATCAATAGTTCTTGCTGCAGAATCCACTCACTCCTTGCTCCCGAAGTGTGCTATAGTATGTCAGCTTCCATTTCTAGTAAACATTTTGCTTACATACAACGTTTAAAATCCTAGAAGCATTAATCACATGAACAGGAACTTAGCAAAGGTGAACATTGTAAACTTAGGCAGTTTTGTCTTCCTGCATCTGCTGACTGTCTGTAATAACTGAGAAGTATAAACTGGCTCAATTTATCTCAGTGAGATGTTAAATCTGAAACTTAATAGAATAATCTCAAAATTAGCTTCCATTGTTAAACATTGTAAAAGTCGAGTTAAATGTCAAATACTCTTCATCAAAGTAAGAGTCCTTAATTTATCCTTTGTGTTTAAATGTAGGAAATCAGTGATTTAGAGATGCTGTTGTAATTGATATTTTCACTGAAAATGTCTCTTTACAGTTTAGTCTTGAGTCTTCACAGGTTAAAAGTTAACTGATTTTCTTCTGATTTCTACCATTTCTTGAGTCCCACAGTACAACAGCATTAAAATACATCAAGAAGAATAAGAAATGTAAGCAGGAAACAACAGACACAGATACAGGAAATAAATCTGGTAGCTTCTGTGGAGGAGTCAGTGTTGCACTCATTAAAGTGAGGAAGCCCATAAGAGTTATTGAGACGATAAACTGTAAGATAAAGAATGATAAATTACTTAACATTGATTTATAGAGTCAAATGAATAAGTTGTTACTTTCATTAGGTACTTCCTCCTTCATCTTCTACATGGATGACCCTTTAGAAAATATATTGTATATTTTCACTAACATTGTGTGCCAAGTTCTGAGCTGATATAAATACAGTCAAGCTGATGACCTAAAAATCCCCCAGATATTAGTTTTGTATTATATATTCAGTACGCTACAGAGTATTTTGGAATTCGGTCTTTTGACATTTTGCTGCCAAATTAGAGTGATCTCATTACTATTAAACACATGGGCTGTGTCTACACTGGCCTCCCTTTTGGAAAAGGGATGCTAATGTAGCACTTTGGAATAGGCAAATCCCCGGGGGATTTAAATATCCCCCGCGGCATTTGCATTAACATGGCTGCCGCTTTTTTCCGGCTTGGAGATAAGCCGGAGAAAAGCACCAGTCTAGATGTGATTCTCTGGAAAATAAAGCCTTTTTCGGAGGATCTCTTATTCCTTATCTCCAAGCCGGAAAAAAGCGGCAGCCATGTTAATGCAAATGCTGCGGGGGATATTTAAATCCCCCGCGGATTTGCCTATTCCAAAGTGCTACATTAGCATCCCTTTTCCAAAAGGGAGGCCAGTGTAGACACAGCCTGATAGTATTTAATAAAAGAAAAGCTGTATAAAGGAAGTGTGAAGACAGTCCCAGCTCACAAGGCTTGAAATTAAAGGTCCAACAATGCTCTCATTAAAAGAGGAGAGGAAGGATCTAGATGGGATTCCTCACTCTCGCCTTTATTCCTAACTTAGCTTTGTCTACACGACCAGAGTTTGTCACCAAAAACTGCCTTTGGCAACAAAACAATGCATTTGTACATACTCTACTATGATCCACTCTGCCCCTCCCCTATGCAAGCCCCAGGAATTTTAAATTTCATTTCCTGCTTGCTGGTATGGCCCGGTGAGATCTCATCATGTCTTCCCAGATGACCGTGGCTGACTCTTGTACCAAACACTCTCCCATTTGGACCACCAGGGAATGTTGGAGCTTATCAGTATATGGAGAAGAGTCCACAATCCCAGCTGCACTTGAGAAATTGGGATCTCTGTGGGCACATTTCCTCAAGGCTTGTGTGCAGACTGAAGATAAAGGAGCTGAGGCAGGCATATCATAAGGTGAGAGAGGAAACCCGTTGCTCTATTGCTGCATCTAAGACCTGCCATTTTGATAAGTAGCTACCCTCACTGATGACCCTGCTTCTACCGCCAAGAGTCCTGTGGATCCTGCAGAGGGCATGGAAGTGGTGGAAAGAGGACCTAACCTGGAGGATGACATTACTGATTAAGAGGTGGAGCTAGATGAGGGTGTGGCGTTCATGGTGGAATTGCCAGTGACACAGGCAACCAAGAACACTTCTCCACTCCTGAGGTACCTAGCTAGTCTCAGCAGTTGTTCTTCAGGGAAAAGGAAGCAGGAGATGAGATGCAGGGTATGTGTTTGTGGCTCGTGTATTGCAGAGGAAGACTATAGTATAGAAAAGTGGGAGGCTGGCTATGTTCTCTGAGCTGGACATTTCTCTCTGTAGCTAATTAGTAGAGTAGAGTAGAATAGGGTGATGATGCAAAGCTGGGATCTCACGGGAATCCTCCAAACCTCTGCTGCAGGTTGCATGGTGGTGCAGGTTTGTTCCTTTCCCCCTTGTAGGACTCTATTCTGTGCCATTCTGCAATCACTTGTGCAAGGACTAAAGTGGCACATTGGTGAGCTGCATATAGAGCATGATAGAAACTGCAAATATACAGTAGGTATACCCTATTTTCCCTGCTTAACCTCAGCAGCGAGGTGTCTTCTAGGACAAAGTTTCTCAAGCTTTTTTTATAAAGTACCCCTTAAAAAATTGTAAGTAGCCCCTTTTAAAAAAAAAAAATTTAAGTACTTCCAGTACCTACAGTTTTTAGACATACATTTTTTTTCTACCGCCCATAGTGGTGTCCCCAACATGGATGTGATCTGTCGTCCGTTGAGTGTTAACAAGCATTTCCAGTTTTTATTGAGCTAATATTTGGGTACTGATATAAGTTTAATCGACAAAATTTGGTAGTGTAGACAAAGCCTTACTTATTCTGGGCTTATAGGAGGAACTTGAAGGGGGAGATGGAATTGGAAAAGCATTACATATACAGATGCTGTTCCGAAAAAGACACATGGGTCTCTTGTGTGGTTTTCAACATGAAGTTGTTCACATGAAACTTCTATTAAGAACAAATGTGCAATCGGGTATATTCCATAAAGAGTATGTAAATCCACTGGCCAAACAAATGTGCATAACTATGGGTATAAAGCTTGTTTATTGTGATTTTAACAACATAGTATGAACAGTTGAAAGTTTCTTACCAGACTCTTAATAATCTTTGGGAATGCCTTAAATGAAGGAATGTATCCTCTAATAGAAAGGGAAAGTGATTTCAGCTGTAGGTCTTCTTCTGACATCTTTTCAAATATTGAAAAAGAAGCCACACACACTGTAAGGAATGCCAGTGTTGTCACTACATAGGCTAGAAGCAAGCCATCCTTCAATAGAAGGGGCAGCAAGCTGTTAAAACAGAAGTGCATTCCAATAAATTTACATTCTAAGTAACACATTAAAAGGTGAGGGAAAAAGAATATGCTTAGAAAGAGGTACAGGTACGCCATTAGGCAATAAGCCCCACCTGGGCTTCAACCTGACTGGGCAGCCCCGCTGCCTCCTGGCCTCACCAAGCAGTTCCACTGGGTAGCACTGGGACTGCTGGGCTTTTTGCTGCATAGTTGAGCAGCTCCACTCCCAGGTTTCTGGCCCTGCCACCAGATGGCCCCGTGGGGCAGCCATGCTGCCGCCCAGTCCTGCTGGGCAACTGAGCCACTCGGTGGCAGTAGTGGGGCTGCCAGGTGGCCGCGCTTCCTCACCGTCTCACCAGGCAGTTTCACTGCTGGGCTGCTGCCCCCCCCCTCCCCCCAATCCTCTGCAGTGTTGGCACCGGACAGCAGCCCTATTGCTAGGCTCCCAGTTTCACTGCCACAGGGCTGCCCCACTACTGGGCTCTAGCCCCAGTGTAGGGCTTCCAGCCACCAGCCCTCCACAGGAACACTCTGGTCCTGGGACATCTGTGGTCCTACCGGACCAGGGATGTTGCTGGACCAGAGAGTCCCGGTTAAGAGAGGTTCAGCGTGTACTTAGAATCAAGGTCACAAGAATACTGTATTGAGTTAATAGGGTCTGACTCACCTGAAGGTTGAGACAAGTAAAAACCACGTAGACATAAAAGGAATTTCATGTATAATTAAACAGACTGGTCTATGGTAAAAAAAAAAAAAAGAAAGAAAAAAGGTATAAAACATTTTATTGTACACAAGTTTTATTTATTCTGGGTGGGAGACTCTATTGTGATCTGGCCCCTTTTTTGCCATCTGGAGTCAGACACTAACTGCAGCTATTTGGAGAACTCTCTCCCAGGGCCAGAGTGCCGGTACAGAGTGCCCTACCTTCAGGTACAGAGTGTCCCTTATCCTGCCTTCCTCCCACCCTCTCACTCAGGATAGGAGGCATAGCAGAACTCCACTCTGCTTATCTTCCACTGGCATATACCAAGGTAAAATATCTCCTGCATGAGATCTATACTTGATGTAACACTTGGTTATAGCTTCTTTGATTCTTGAAGTCAACCTCTAACTGCCTTAGGGCATTTCTATATCAACAGTTAGTGCACAACAAGCTGAGGTGTAAATCTACAGTACCTCATCTGCCATGCACGAACTATGTACACAAGGGAACATACTACAGATTGGAGTACTGTACATTTTTACACAGCTGCCATGCATTAAGTGTTTATGTAGATAGAATACCCTAAGGCAGTGATGGGCTGATCCTAAAAACCAAAGAAGCTGTGATCACACCAAACAGAGGTCTAGTGCAAGAGATATTCTACGCTGTGTTTTGATTTGCAGCACAATATGCAACAACAGTTGCAGTTTATGAGCATCTGTGCCTAGTCACTTTAGTAAGAATGGTAAAGTGTGTTCTGCCAGAAAGCTAGAAACAATGGTTATGGGGCCAGACTAGATAATATTGCCTCTTGTAGGCCTATATGTGATCTTTCTAATGTAAACCTAGGAAAGGAATATTAAAGGTACTGCTGCTCCAGTGTTCAAATTCTTCAAACATGATGGCTATACTTCCCTCCAGGTGAAGATGACCCACTGCCTTAGGACTTTTCTCCATCTCTTTCCTTTGCTGGGAGATTATATACATGAATGACCAAGACTGGAGTCCCTTTGCCATCTAATTATTGGGAAATGAGGGAGTGTTCACCTTATTTCACTCATCATTATAACTGACCTTACATATGCTCTCCCCTTGCTGGGCAACTACATATCTGGGGCTTCTTTGATTTCCACTGTCACCCTTCGCATCCCAAAATCACCCTATCACCTGGACAGTCACCCATATTGTATGCTGGATCAGACCCTAATACAACGCCCATTAGTACATCCTGTTTAGATAATGGAAATGATCAAAAAGGAAATGTCTACTTTCATAGCCCCTGTGAAATGAACTACTTTCATTACTTATCATTCAGATGCTCTTAAAGAATGAAAACTATATGCACAATTAAAAAAAAAGTATCTGTTTTAATGGATACATTCTTTCTATGTGAGAGAGAAGCCTGTATCATCATGCAAATTGGGGGAAAGGGTATCAAAATAGTTTCTATATAAAAAATAAATGACTTACATAGATACTAGAAGAATGGATTTTTCATGTACTTGGAAGGAGAACAGGAAGAATGACAATGCACAACTAGCCTAAAAGAGTCAAGTAGAACAGGTTAGTCTATATCTCCCCTGTGGAAAGAGTAGGTTTCGGTTTTTAAATTGGGCTAAATTTGTGACATCAGCATGAAGTGCCCAATATAAGTAAGTATCTAATCTGTATTAAATATATACAACTCCAGAACAATTTACATATTTCAATAAAATTAGAGACAAGTACACAGATCTGCACCTATAACAGATTGTGGCTGCAAATAGGAGCCTTTTCCAAGTTTGATTCAGACTATTTAGAACATGCGTCATGTAATAAAGCCCCTATTTTGCAAACATTAGTGCATAACTATACCCACAGTAGCATTCCCATCAAAGTAAACTAAATTACTCACAGATATGAATGATTGCAGGATTGGGGCCCTACTATATCAAGTCAGAACTACCATACCTGAAGTAGGCTGTATTATGCTGGGTCAAATGGACTCATGAACAACCAGCACCTCAGAAGTAACAGCAAAAGGTCTATTCTTTTTATAGAACTAAAAATATATTGAGCAGGAATCAACCTACAAGTCAATTCTCAGAAAAGATGTAGATGCCTCACTATTATAAATTGAAATAGCACACAATTTTTATTTTAAACATATAAATCCACTAATGTTTAAAGTGATATTGGTCTTGGTATAAAATTGCTTTTATAGTTTAAAAGGAGCATTTTACATTCATGTGTTGATATGCCTAAATTTATGTTCAATGATGTTAAGCTACAGAGAGAGAAAAGCAAACATTTGAAAAAACAAAACCAAAAAATGGTATCATTCCCTTCTCAAACTACTAATGAGCCTGCAATGACTATTGTGGGAATTTTTATTGAATTTGGCAGCCAGTGCATTAAAAAAAAACTATCACTTTGGAAACAAAATTAAAGAGAAAGGAAATCTCAAACCCATACAAAGCTTTATTGTGTGGAGAATCTTCCAATGTATTTTCAGAGGAAAATAATAAAAATACAGAATTAAAGAAAATTGAGAATAAGAGAAACAAAGAAGTATACACAAGAGGAAAGCCTGAGATTTAAAAGACACTAGATAGGTCCTCCGATACAATTTTGATATTCAGTTCTATTGGTAATATGCTTTTTAAACAGTCTCTTCAGCAGATACCAAATGACATTTAACAATATACATAACTCTGCTCAGTGGGACAATTTTAAGGAGAACTGTTAGCTATGCTTCAAAGCTCACTGATAGATTTAAAATAAGAAACAATTAAAAAATACACTTACCAGAGCAAATTTAAATCCTCGGAGAGTGGGCTGGAGGGTTAGTTTTATACAAGCCGGAAGTAGGCTCAGAAATGTAAAAGCAAAGCTAAAAGATTATTTTAAAAAAGATATAAGTTAACCTTTCATAGGTAAATAACTACTTTGATGTTTTCAAATATTTTCAAAAGAAACTAGGTGACTTAGGAACCCATGTTTCGTTTTTAAAAACACAAATCACATAGCAAGGTAAGTCAATTTGGTGTGTGCTCCTAACTGATTTAGGTGCTTTTGAAAATTTTACTCTTTAATAATTTTTAATCCATCTTCCATACTGAATGAACCCTCATCCTGGATTATTTGCTTATTTGAAATATTTTGGATTATACAAACTTTAGCCATTTAGAAAAAATAATGGAAAAAGTTAATGCATGTGTTTGCTACTTTCTAATTTTAACTAATTATTAGGCTCAAATCATCATTCAACACACATAGAAAAAAGTTTCATAAAATTCTAAACACACAATCCTGGGGAAAATTTTAATTTTCTTTGTATTACTTGGAACTAAAAAATACACCATAAATAAAAAAGTCTCTTTAAGAACTCTGAAAATTGCCTCTCTCAGTTCTTGCCAAAAATGAATAAGTGTCTCTGTGATGTAGGAGCACAAGTTCTCTTGGCTTTCAATAGGATTTGTGCTCCTAAAATATGTAAATGCTTTTTGAAAATCCCCCACAATATGAATAAAAGTGAAAGTTACCTAAAAAGCCTTCAGTTCCCTTACCTGAGTTTAAGTTGGGTTTGATGTGACAGCACATTCTTTATCTTTACAAGGACACTCATACTGCACCAAATATTGGCTACTTTATCCTGAAAATATATTTAGTGAGTTGTATCCATGTTAGTTTGCTGTTCAAATAATAAGAGGATTATTTAATATTTCACCAAAGACCACATTTCAATACCCAGTGCCACATGCTATAATGAAAGACAGTATTGAGTCAGTATGACTTTGGCTCTAACATAGAATATTAAAATCTAAAAGAAACTGAATTAAAACATGTATTAAAATAACTGAGAAATACTTTCTCGAACACAAGAGGCCATCAGTCTGAAGTCAAGACCACACACTGAAAATAAAGCTCTGAAACCATTCATCTCTAGGAAAATTTACATCAAAATGATAGCAGCTATGACTATTTTCAAATGTGAACACATACTAAATATTGTCACATTTTATTACATAGTAGAATGTACTTAAATCTGCTTACTAGCAATGACAGAGTTAACCATAATAAATCAAGAAGTCTAAAGACATTAGCAGTTGTGCTAGGATCACTTTCAAAATTACATTCGTAACCACAGCTATCATGGTCATGAAACTCATCCCTAAACAGCTGCTAGAATCACAGCTGTGTAGACATAACATCAAGGAAGCTACTAGCACCAGCCCAGCTTCCTTGTATGTTTACTAGCAATACAGAATATGCTCTTCAAATCTGCTGAGAACTACAAGTGAACAGAGGGTTTGGCAGCACCAGCAAACACAAGATGCCGACTTCATAGCCAGTAAGATTTTACAACCCTCAGCATTTGTTGCTGTTTCTGTAAATGGGAATCAATTCAAAGAACCTGTTACAGGCAACAGAGTATAAACTTACTGTGCATTGCTTACGTAGACAATTTCTCAGTTTATCCAGATTAGTATCCAAGTAAGTCATTGCCCTATTCAGTCTGAAAATATTTGGTCTAATATTAGACTAAAATCCTTGGGCTCTTTTGGATGCATTGTTTGTTGACATTTACAGCTTTTATTTTTAAACTTAGCAATGCATAAAAAATGCAAAGTGACAAAAGGTATTTTGGTTTGTAAATTTCTTTATCTCTTAAGCTGCAATTATTTTTTAACAAGCTGCTGGAGAACGTTCCGAAAATACTCCTATGGCTGCATATAAATTAAATACCGCCCTCAGTGTGTCCAGAATGTTATGTTTTCAGGGCAAATATATTGTAGGTTGTGGTATCATTTGTAGCTAATAGGGATGTTAAATGACTAACCGTTTAGCCGATAAGATTAGTGGTGTCAGTAACACTCAGCCTCCTCCCCGGGACCCAGGCCGGCAGGGGCTGGTGGTCCGGCTCCAAAGGAGGCTTCACTACAGGCTCTTAGCTTTATACTGCAGAGCCTGCAGCACGTGTAACCATGTAACCACTAAGATTTTCAGCAGGTATACTGATACCCTATTAAACTATTTTTAATATCACTAGTAGCTAGTGGAGAATTACTAACAGAAGCCACATATATAAGGCAAACCATTTAGTAACAAGTCACTCAGGGCCAGATTCAGCAAAACACTTAAGCATGAGCTAACGTCCCACTGAAGCATTACTGACTCAAGCCCTTAGTTCAGGGGTGGGCAAAAGGGCCTCAGCGGGCCAGATCTGGCCTGCCAAGCGGGTAGTGATCTGGCCCGCGGCAGCCCTGCAGCTCCCCGCCCCCAGGCCAATTAGGACCTGGGGGCAGAGGAGCATGTGAAGCTTCCTCCTGCCCTGATTGGCCTGGGGGAGGGGGAGCTACGGGAAACTTCCTGTGAGACGCGTGCGGCACTTCAAAGTGCTGTATGATCACGCAGGGCGGGGGCAGGGCGAAGGATGCTTCACACAGACCCACTGCCCCAGACCCTGATTGGGCTGAGGATGGGGGAGCATGCAAAGCCTCTTCCCGCCCAGCAAGGGGCATGGGTACCTACTGGGAATGGGGGGGCAAAGGGGCTCCCCCATCTCCAGATCAATCATGGTCTGAGGATGGGGAAGCCCAGAAGCATCACTGCTCTGTCCCTTTGAGTTTAGGCCCCGCCCCTTCCGGGATGGCCTGGGGCCACTTAAAAAATTATTGCCCACCCCTGCCTTCGTTTGTACTTTGGGGAAGGTTAAGGTTTCAAAATTTGCTTTTAAATTTGTACAATAGAGGTTTGATCTTGCCAGGAGTTAAGCACGCTGACCCCAATCTACTGAAGTGCCTTTTTAAGCATGTATGTAGCAGACCCACTGGTATCAATGAGACTACTTGTGTGCTCAGAGTTAGTACATGCTTGACAGCTCTGCTGAACTGGATGACAGTGCTCAGCATTTTGCAAAATCAAGCCCACTGTGTTCAATCAAACTACTGCTTAGGAATAGTAAAAAAACAAATGGTCTAAATAAACTCTTGAAGAAAGTTGAGACTGAGAATAACAGCTAGGATACAAAGCAGGCCTCAATTTACACCTGAAACATTACAGCCATTATTAGCTGTAGAAATAATTCCTTTCAATAAAGCTGAGTATTATGCTAACAAAAGGCAGACTCTGAAGCTGTTAACCATATAGTTACATCTTCTGACACTGTCAATTACTATGGAATCCATGTCAATGGAAAAATGTGTGACTGAAGTATGGATTTGATGATAGGATAAGTGTTGTCTACTCATATAATATCCTAGAAGATGCCAGCTGAGCTAGGGGTTAAATACTGGATTAAATGACTGGCAAGAAATGACTGCTGAAGAAGGCAGTTCAGATTACTCGTTCTGTGGTGTGTCTTCCAAATGAAATCCCTAAAGGTCACAGTGAAGGTTTCTCTAGGGATCTAAGAATACAGAACATTTACACAAACAAAACAACCCACATACCTCAAACAAGCCTCGATCAATGGGAAAAAGTCTTCTGAGTACTTGCAGGATTTGTTCCACTTCTGTGCAGAACGGGAGCCAGCAAATCACAAAAGAAGCAACTACTGTAAATGCTATTTTAACTAACAACACTAACCTGTAATAGAAGAGTTTAAGTCAAGATATTAAGATGCAAAAACGCTGTTTATATAAATCAGACTGTTGGGGCTTCTAACAAAGTCTATTTACAGTATATAACTGAATGTGCGTAAGATCATAAAATGTGACAAATTTGAGCAGAGAGCTGCCAAGAGGAAAGGTATGTCATCCCCTCAACAGAATATCCACAGAATATCCACTACGACTGTGTCAAATCTACTAGCATTTGTCTCGCTAATCTGGTTATCTACTTTTGATTCATATTTAACTTTGATTCCAGCATGATGAAGGTGTTCAGAAAAAGGATGGTTAATGACAACATGTGAATAACAGCTTTTTCGGTTCACTTCAAATTCCAAAAAAACTGAAACACACACATTTTCAGGTCAAATCAAAAATGAAATATTCCAAAATTTGTGGCAACTTAAGTCTTATTAATTTGGGGTTGAACAAAATAGTCCTTCATCCCAAAATGAAACTCTATTTTGAGCATTTATCATTTTTTAATTTTTTTAAAAAATAAAAGGAAATTTCTAAGAGACAGTTGGATTGAATTAAATAACTAAATGTTACATTTTGAAAATGTCAAAACAAAATATTTGTCTTTCAGTCTTTTTTTAATGTTTCGGGGTGCTCCACCCCACTGAACAATTTGGGGAAACAGACAAACTGATTAAACATTTCAGTGACACCATGTCTGCTTTTTTGCTGAAAACAGAGTCAGCCTAAAAATTCTACCCAGCTCTACATTTAATATATTTTGCTATATTTTCTGCATCCTCAGAGAGCTAGTTAGCTATTTAATGGCTAGAAAGAGACTTGTTCTAAAAGAACAGAGGAAATTATGACACGAGTAACTTCCCTTGGAGCATAATAGAGAAAAAATGGAAATGCAAATAGGATTAATCAAATTCCCAAGGCTAGGTTGTCAAAGTGCACTCTTGAGCTAGTGTTTGGCTACTGAGTTTTAAAGATACTCACCCCTTTCCTGTAAGGCCTTTTTGGAAGCATTTTCCAAGAAGGTAGCAAAAGAATGGCAGTGAATGGTAGAGTTCCATTTGTTTATAATTTATAGCCAAGCAAAATGCCAGTGATCCTAACAGGTCCCAATCATGAGAGAGACAAAGTACACCCCACAAAGCAAAGCCTAGGCTCACAGAGTTATATCTGTTTTACGTTAAGGACATAATGTGCAAGACAGGGAACATGCTGAGTATTGTGACAAGTTAAAAGTGAACTAATCCCACAGATGACAGATGTAAAATATTTTACAACAAAAGTTTTATAAATTAGTCTTCATTTTTAAAAATGTAGTGCCAAATATGCAACCATTTTGTTCATGCACAGAAATACTTTAAATTCTATTTAAACAGATTAGCCAACTGTAACTCTGTGTTTGGGAACCTAATCAAACATCCAGAAAGTAAAAAGGAAAGAGAGTTTTATGGTTGTACAGACTTTTACTACACTAGTATAATACATTCAATTAGCTAGGGTTAATAAAAACATTACACTGACAGTACTCAGCAGGATACAATCAAGAGCAATTCCACATTTTCTTGTGGTTAGTCTAGGGTAATGGATACAATTGTCAAAAGTCCTAAAACTTTTTTGCAGTACAGCTTTGTGTGGAATATTTAAACATACTTAAACTGCACTCTCTTCAGGGCAGGGACTGTCTTGTTATGTGTCTGTACAATGCTAGAAACAGAGAGGCCTCAATCCATGATTAGGGCCCATAAACACTATTGGAAACCAAACAAATAAATAATAATAATTCATAACAACAACAACAATAATAATAATAATAAATAATAATAGTTACAACAAAACAAATCTGTTATCTACTTTTGACACTTGAGGCCTGATCAAAAACCCAGTGAAGTCAATGAAGAGACTCTTGTTGAGCTACAGCTAAGGCCCTATATGCATCAAATGCAGCAATTAAAGTATAATGAAAGAAACTGAATGAGAGAGATGCCACTGATATCCTAAGAAATACTGAAACAATATATGTTTCTCTCTCTACTTCCTCTTTGCCAGCACAGATAGCTACAAGACAATATATTTGGGTTTTATAAATCATTTCTCAATCTATTTACTCCCTTATCAAAACTCATAATCCTATCTGTCATACTGTCACTTCCACAGCAACTAACTATGATGCCAAAAGGCCATGGTCCTACAAAGACTTGTGCATTCTAAGTAGCTCCAATGGCTTCAGCTGAACTAGTCACAATTTATAAATTATGCACATGCCTAAGTCTTTGTATAATTCGTGTCAAAATTAGGACTTCAGGATAAATTGAAGCAGTAAATACAGGTAGTCCCCGGGTTACATACAAGATTGGGACTGTAGGTTTGTTCTTAAGTTGAATCTGTATGTAAGTCGGAACTGGCGTCCAGATTCAGCCGCTGCTGAAACTGACCACCAGTTCCGACTTACATACAGATTCAACTTAAGAACCCCAGGCGTCCCCAAGTCAGCTGCTGCTGAAACTGATCAGCGGCTGATTCCAGGAAGCCCGGGGCAGAGCAACTCTGCCTCGGGCTTCCTGTAGTCAGCACTGGTCAGTTTCAGCAGCA